TGGGAAGAAAACACTTTTGTATAATCTACTGATCTCTCAGTCTTTTTTTAAAAAGAGAAAGAAAAAGGGTGGAATAGTAAAAACAACGGAATGTCGGGGAGATAGCAGGGCTCTCTGATTTTGGACCTTTGCCGTCAGCTGTTGAAAGTCCTAAGACCCACCATCAAAATGAATTGCAGACCGTCACCGGGCACCGCACTGGCCGTGTGAAACGGAACGTCGGGACTTAGGAACACCAGCTCTCACTGACACGGGCGTTCGCTGCGGGCAGGGCTGCGCAGGCCCATGGGGTGCAGGGCTGCCTTTGTGCAGAGTGTTTGGGGAGGCCAGTCCACGGAGACGCATCCAGAGCGGCTCGGCGGTGGCTCGGGGCTCAGGATGGGGGAGGGGAGGACTTCCACTTGGGCAGGCGGTTTCTTTTTAATGTAAAGTTATCTGTGATGTGGCTGACAGGTCTATAAATTTTATAAGTGTCACACTTAAAATGCGTAGATTTTATACTAAGTCAATTATACCTCAAAGCCGTTTAAATAAAAAAAACGAGTCTGCCTGTGTGAATAGATGGAAAACTTCAACCTTGTGAAGGTACTGATCGGATGGGGGAAGACTTCCCAGGAGGAGTTCAGCAGTCGGTCTGCTCTGTCCCCGGTTGCCCCCTCGCTCCCACCCCGCATCCAACGCCAGGCGGCAGCTGGCACTCGTGTGCCGGGCGCGGAGGAGCGAGAAAGGGCAGAATGGCAGGACTTCCCCTTAATTTTTTTCTTTTTGTTACTGTGGTAAAATACGTAATATAAAAGTTGGCATTTTAACCATTTTAAGGGTGCATACGGTTCGGGGGGACTGAGTGCCTTCGCACTGTTGTGCCGCCCTCACCACTGCCCGTTCCCGAGCCGCCTCGGCATCGGGAGCAGAAACTGCACCCACGTTAGCCCAGAGCTGGTAGCCTCTGGTCTGTTCCGTCTCCACGAGTTTGACTTTTCTGGGTGCCTCATGTAAGTACAGTCATGCAGGGTTTGTTCTCTTACGTTTGGCTTTGTTCATTTAGCATCATGTTTTTAAGGGTCATCTCAGTTGTAACAGTGTCAGAAACTCCACATTCTTCCTACCTACTCACCATCCACTAGTGGACACTCGGACGGTTGTATTTCCGCTACTGGGAGTAATGCTGCCGGGAACTTCGTGGTACAAATGTCTGTTTAAAGTTCCCATTTTAAATTCCTTGGGGCACGTACCGAGGAGAGAAATTGCTGGGCCACCCTAAGAAAAGGTAAAACACTGCCACTGGCAGCAGCACGGGCGGCTCCTGAGAGTGTCCTGCCGAGTGAAGTACTGTATTTGTCACACTGTAAGATGCACTTTCCCCCCCAAATTTGGGAGGAATAATGGTCGTTCATGCTGCTGTTGAGTTCTATTGACATTTACCTTGGTGAAATACTATGTTATTTATGTTATTGAATATTTTACCATTTTTGCTTCAAAAATTTTTCCCATTTTCCTCCTCTATAACCTAGGTGCGTCCTATGGTCTGAAAAAAGGTAAGTCAGGCTAAAGTCAAGAGCCATAGAATTCACTCGTATGTGGGCTGTAAAACTGAATGCAACAAATAAGCAAACAGGATAGACTCACGGACACAGACAGCAGTGTGGTGGTTACTAGGAGGACGGGGGTGGGGGAGGTGGGGAAGGGCGGCGAAGTCCATGGCGGTGCAAGGAGACTGCGCTTCGCGTGGTGAGCGCAGCGCAGTGTGCAGCGGATGCGCTGTGGAAGCGAACACTTGGAACCTGTATGGTTTTACTGGCCAACGTCCCCCAAATACGTCTAATTAAAAAGAAACTGCGGGGTCACAGAGTGGTTCTGGGTTTAGCTCTTTGAGGCGCTGCCACCCTGCCTTCCACAGCAGCTGTGACAGTCACATCGTACCTGTGACACGGGGGTTTTTCACTTTGCCACATCTTTGTCGGACCCTTGTCTTTCTGGTGGCCATCCCAAATGTCACGACGAGGTACCTCATTGTGGTTTTTATTTACGTTGCCCGAACGATCAGTGACCCAGTCTTTAGAAAATGTCCGTTCAAGTCCTTCCTTCCCTTTCAGTTGGTTGGTGTCGTTGTCCACGCGCAGGCATCCTGTGTGTGTTCGGGGCATTAACTCCTCACCAGATACATGGTCGTGAATATTGTCTCCCACTCCATGGGTCGCCTTTCACTCTGCTGATTGTGACCTTTGATGCACAAAACGTTAAAATTTTTATGAAATCCAGTTTATCTATTTTCTTCTCTTGCTGCCTGTGTTTCGGCATCATAGGCCAGAAATCATTGCTAAATCCAGTGTTATGAGGTTTTCCACTTAGGTGTTTTTTTGTTTCATAGTTTTAGTTCTTACATTAAGGCCTATGACCCATTTTGAGTTAATTTCTGTACGTAGCGTAAGGAAAGGGTCCAGCTTCATCCTTTTGCATGTGGACACCCACTTTTCCCAGCGGCACCTGTGGAAATGACTGTCCTTGCCCTATGTCATATTTGGCGCTCTTGTTGAGAATCAGCTGACCATATATTATATACAAGGGTTTACTTCTAGGCTCCCTGTTCTACTGCATTTGTGAATATATATGTTTTTCCGCAAGTGCCTCACTGTTTTGATTACCACAGCTTTCTCATGAAGTTTGAAATCAGGAAGTGTAAATCTCCAACTTTGTTCTTTTTCAAGATCGTTTTGGCTATCCTGGGTCTCTTGAGATTGCTCATAAATTTTGGGATAGATTTTTATATTCCCACAGTTAATACTGCTGGAAGGTTGACAGGATCATGTTCAATCTATAGATCCCATTGGCTAATAATGACATTTTAACAATATTAAGTCTTGCAATCTGTGAACACCAAATGTCTCTCCATTTATTTATATTTTCATTAATTTCTTTCAGCACTTTTTGTAGTTTCGAGTCTGCAAGTCTTTCACTTTAAGTTTATTTCTAAATATTTTTTCTTTTTGATGTTATTATAAATGGAATTTTTAAAAATCCCTTTCAGATTGATCATTGTTAGTGTAGAGATAGAAACACAAGGTTTTTGCATTGATTTTGTATCCTGAAATTCTGCAGAGTTGGTTGATTTGTTCTAAGTTTTGTGGAGTCTCTAAGGTTTGCCACGTATAAGAACATGTTATGTGCAAACAGATCATCTGACTTCTTCCTTTCCCATTTGCATGCCTTTAGCTTCTTCCTCTGGCCTAGTTGCTCTGCCTGGTGCTTCCTACAGCAGGTTGAGTAGGACTGGTGAAGGCAGACATCCTTGTCTTGTTCTTGAACATAAAGGCAAAAAAGCATTCGATGTTTTACCATCGAGTCCGAAGTTAGCTGTGTGGTTTTCTTACATGGACTTTATTGAGGTAGTTTCCTTCTATCCTAGTTTGAGTTTTCGAAATTATGAAACGGTGTTGAATTTTGCCAAATGCTTTACCTGTATCTAAATGGTCGTGTGGGTCTGCCTGGCTCCCTCGGTCTGCTACGGTGGTGTGCTACGCTGATTTATTTTTGTAAGTCTGACCATGTTGCATTCGAGGGATCATCGGTTGGGTCATTGTTTATAGACTTTTAAGCATGTTTCTGAATTTGTTTTGCTAATATTCTGTTGAGGAGTCTTACATGAAGAATCATATGGATACCGGGCTATAGTTTTCTTGTAGTATCTTTGTCTAGCTTGGTGTCCGGTTAATGCTGCCTTCCTGGAGTGAGGAAGCCACTGTCTCTTCAGTTTTGGGGGGAAGAGTTTGGAAAGATCTGGTATTCTAGAAATGTTTGGCTCCTACGGTGGAGGGCTTTTCGTCTTCTGGAGAGTGTTGATTTCTGACCGATTCACTCTTCTTCCTAGTTCTAGGTCTACTCATATTTTTTACTTCTTCATGATTCCGTCTTGGTAGGCTGTATGTTTCTAGGAATTTGTCCATCTCATCTAAGTTATCCAAGTTGTTGTTGTGTAATTGGGTATATAATCCTTTTTGTTTCTATAAAATCAATAATGTACCCCACCTCCATTTCTAATTTTAGTAAACCGAGTCTTCTCTTTTAGTCAATTTTGTTAAATTTTGTTAGTTGATTTTGTTAACCTTTCACAGAGGCAGCTGGTTTTGTTGATTATTTTCTATTCTCTGTTTCATTTCTCTCTATTTCAATCTTTATTCTCTCCTTTCTTCTGCTAGCTCTGAGTTTATTTTGGTCTTATTCTAGTTACTTAAGGTATAAAGTTAGGGTTTTTTTTTAATGTAAGCATTTACAGCTATAAATTTTCTTGTCAGTATGCTATCATTGCACCCTATAAGTTTTGATATGTTGTGTTTTTATTTTCATTTTTCTCAAAATATTTTCTAATGTACCTTGTGATTTTTTTCTTTGAACCATTGGTTGTTTAGAAGTTCAAGAAAAATTATAGCCAATCCTTTATTTTGACAGCTTGTGCCTTGGCCCTCGGTGGAATCACTCACTCTGGGTATGAGTAAGTCATAGACACGCTGGCCTCCGTGTGCCTAAAGGTGGAGAGGAAATAATTCCTGCTCCAGTTTGTGCTTGGACAAGCAACCCATTGGTCCATGAACTCAGGAGAACTCAGCACCCCTGCGAAGGAGAGAGGTGTGTTTTCAGGAGACCTGGTGAATGGCTGACTGGCAAGGGAAGGAAGAGGCAGAACTGAAAAAGCCTGAGGTTGCAAGCAGGACGCCAACAGGGAACTCTGACCGAAAAGGACTCATAGCAACGGTGCAGCCCCGGAGAGGTGAAAGCAGCGGGGAGAGGGTTAGGTGATGTGGTTCGAGCCTGGGGGGCAGGGCATGGGTGTGCCCGGGTGCACTGAGGGGCCCAGGCCCGGCGGGGCCAGCGGGACTGCCGGTGGGTTCGCCTCCCTACCAGGTTCAGAAGCCGCCTCAGAGGGGCCCTCACTGTTGTCCAGAGGCCAGCTGTGGGTGAGCCTGGGGAGCGTGTACCCAAGCTACCAAAAGGCAAAAACTCAGATGTTGCAGACAAATTAAAATTTATTGAGACAGACAGAGATGCACCTACTCAGGACTACAGTTACGCAACTACCGTTAACCAAAGAGTCATGTTCACATTCCAGATAAGTCTATGTGCAAAAGCATTCAGAGTCTACTAGGTTTTTCTACATCACTATTTCATCTACAACAGGGACAACAAACTGACATTCAGGGTTTGGTGGCTCTCATTACAATGCTACACATTGAACAGGGACACACGTCAGTGGCTTTGAGAAAACGGTATAAAAAGACCAGACCACCCACTGCAGAAAGAGCTCTCGGATGTCACTGCACGGTGTGGTCAGGGTGGCATCCTGGGAAAGCGGAGGGGCAGACCTGGGCAGCTATGGCGTCCTTCACTGCTGGGCCTGGGGAAACAGATATAAAACCTCAAGTTCAGTGGTAAGGTGTTTCCATGCCTAGAACATCTGTGGAAACCGAGCGACGTCAACATGGTGGATAGCTAACCATGGTGGAGGACTCTGGGGTTCAGGTTGGGTGCTAAGGAGACAGTTATTAAATTAGAGAAGCGTTTATGGCAGAAGAATAAAACCATTCCCTAGGGGCTTTCCAAAAACAAGTCTGTGGGTGAGGACTTGGGCCCTGTCTCCAACAAGGGACTGGGCGGTCACAGGAGAATCCGTTAGTATCAGTTTTGTGTAGGACTCATCACCTGCTAAAACACTCCTGCCGAAAGAAAGAAAACAAGAATTCTCTTTCTAGGCATAAGGTAGCTAAAAAAAAAAAAAAATGGATCTTGAGTACTTTTCACAAGTGAAGAGCATTAAAGACCTTTAAAAAACCTTCCGCTGCCGTGCCCGAGTGAGGCGTGGAACGTGGCACTGGCGTGGCTCCACCGATGTGGGGTGCTGGGGGTAGGGGGGCTTTTTATTTAATAGTTTAATGAACCAAGATATCCTCCTGGAACATCTCTGAAAATGAGCGTCTCATTACCTTCCTGAGAACTGACTGCTGAGCACTCTTCTCCATCATTAAGTTAATGCTAAGGGTCTTTAAGTGTCATCTTAATTTGACACTTGTCATAAGATAATTAGTTTCTCTAAGTGAAATCAATTTGTCGATTTAAATTTGTTCTCTTACACATTTTTCCAAGCTTGGGGGAGGGAGTAACAATGGTTTTCTCTGAGGGTCTAAACTGAGGTTTTTTAACATCTTGATTCTTTTATATACTCTATTGTAATGTAGCTGCAATTAAGCACCTGTTTTCTAAATTATGAGCTCAAAGTGTTGTGCAAGTTAGGAAAAAACATTACAACACAGTGAGAGTCAACTTCCTAGCACAGAGCTGGCCAGCGGCCTCCCTGTGTCTGGGCTCCTGGCTGCACTGGCGTCTTATTGGGCCTCAGAGTTCGCTGCTTCATCGTGTTTGTGTCTGGCCTGAGACTAACTTCAGGGATAAAGCCTCTCTGTTCAGCCAGTGCAAGGGCTGGAAGTGTTAGTGTCAGGGGGTGGGGAAAGTACAGAGAAATGGTTGCTCTGGGGTGGAGGGCTGGTCAGCTGCCACTGTGATGTGGTTTGGCTGAGTCCATTTTTTTGCCCGAGTTGACGTGGGCTTGTGGACCGGCTGGGTGGGCATCCAGGAGGGGGCAAGCCTGTCGGGGAGGAGCTGAGGGGCCAGCACTGAGCTAAACGGGCCACTTAGAAGACTACTCTTTGGTACTTGTCCTTGAATCTGGGCCAGCCCAATAGGGAGAGACATTCTGAAGACTAGGGACATGGCGACCCTACCAAATTCGGAGATGGGCTCTAACAGTGACCTCACTTAGGGGAAATAAACCACGTGCTGAGAGACTCCCTTCACTCGTGTCCTGACCCTTGGGCAGCACCGGCTCTAACAGGGCCCTGCTTCCCTGCGCTGTCACGAAGCTCTTCCTAGGCCTCCCTCGGGAGCCTGTGCTGCTCATTACGACTGTGGATAGAAGGGGGCAAAAGTGAAACCTTGAGGGAAGAATCCTGGATTTTCTTCTACGCAATACCATGAAGGTACTGTCTTCTCAGCGAGCGGGGTGTGTGTGGGTCCCCTAGAAAAAGCCCTTGAGTGGGTGGGGCGGGAGGCGCCTGCAGCAGACAGGCCGCTGCAGCCCCAGGGGGCTTGGCGCTGGAATGAAAGAGGCGGCTTGTGCAGCTGCCCGCCTGGGCGTCATGGCTTGTGCAGGAAGAGCGATGTGGGCGGGCGGTGGTTTCTCTGGGTCAGGGGGGTCCCAGTGAGAAGAAACTGCCACCGCCCGCTGCCTGCAAGTGCCGACTGTTAGTGCAAGAAAGGCCTTCGATACACACTTTATTCCAGAAATGGAGATCCAGGTCTAGGCAGGCTCACACGCTCATAACTATTTTTCACATGGTTTTAAAAGGAGCCAAACAGTTTTTCCGAGCGGAGCGTGCACCCGACTTACAAACATGGTCTCTTCCGTACGCGGGGATCTAGGCTCGCAGGTGCAGAGGGAAGCACCCCCACACCAGTTTTCCAATAAAGAAAATCAGTGCCCAGAAAGGATTCTCAACTGAGTTAAGGCTCTTGTCTGTAGGAAGCCAGATATAGTGATGTGAATGACTAAGTATTCATAATACACACCAGGGGTGGGGGGCGCGGGGGAGTGAAGTACAGCGTGGCTGTTTTCCACAACATCTACAAGACACAAGAGAAGCACTTAGCCACCGTAAGGCCGGGAACCATGCTGCGGCAACCACCGGTGTGGGGGTCAGACGAGGGCCTTTACGTTAGGGGCAGGGCTCCCTGCACGGACCACATGCTCCTTGCAAAAGTCTCCTGGGTGGGAAGGGGGCTCCAGTGCAGCCAGCCCTCCCCCTGCCTAAAAACAACGCACACCCCTCTTCCCACACGACCGACCACCTCCGGGAGTCTCTGGGGGCGGGCCAGCTGTCTTCCAGACTTCGGTTGGTAGAGAGCAACAAGGGCGCCGTGGAGTCTGAGATACAAATGCAGGAACGGGAAGTGACTTGCGACTCGGTGCCAACCTGTGTCCTCTTCCCGTGGGGACTACCAGATGTAGCCGACCTCGTCCTCCTTGTCGTCGTCCTCGTCCTCGTCGTCCTCGGTCAGGGCCCGGGCGCGCACCCGCAGCTTCCGCAGCCTGTCCTCCGGCCCCAGCTCCCGCTCGTCCTCCAGGTCGTCCGGCAGGACCACGGAGCCGCCACTGCCGAAGTCGCCCGAGGTTTCCTGCTCCTCTTCTGAAACATGGACAAGGTACCGGAGGTTAGTTTCTGCTCACACGGCCACCCTCACACGGGACTGTGCTGCAGGGCAGAGCTGCGCGCATCCCGGCCGTGCGGGGCTGCTCTGCACCGCCCAGACCCGAGCTGGGTTCTGATCTGATCCGAGCCCCAGAATGCTCCAGGTGCTTCCGTTTACGACCCTGGCTGCAAAGTGGAGGCAACCCGATCCGCCTGCACTTGGCCTGCAGTAGTTTCTGTCTCACCCTCTTGTCCAGCCAACGGCCATGGCGAGGGCTAGCCCCTCGAAAGCTGGCCCTGTGGATCTCGTGCAATTTTAGGTCACTCGGTCTCCACTGCAGACTCACTCGCTGTGGCCACAGCCACCTCCCGAAATCCTTCCACTCGGACCCTAGCACAGCGAGGACCTGCAGGTACCGAGGGCACGGGGGGCAGACGCAGGAGGCCTCACTCACCGCAGCTCACGATGCCCTGTTTCCTGGAGCCCGCCAGCTCGTTCCCGTACTTGTCCACACACCAGCACTGGCCCGTGCTGCCGTGGCACTGTGTGGCTTTGTAATAGCCCTCCTCGTTACAGCGCGGCATGAACGTTCCTGGGGGATCGGAAAAGAGAGACAGCTCAGGTCTGTGCCCGGCAGGACGCAGAGAGGCTCCGGGTGGAGGGTCCCGGGTCCGCAGGGTCCCTGCTGCAGCAGGGGTTGCCTGGTTACTGCCAGTCAAGGCTGCGAAGCCCTGGGGCCACTCGGGGATCAACAGGGCTCCTCCTACTCTGTCTCTAATCACAAATACACACTATTCTTATTAATAAGTTTTATTTTGTATGGTTGCCCAGTTTCACTGAGGTGTAATTAACACAGCACTGCATCTAACCGAAGGCGTGCGGCACAATGGTTTGGATTGCCCACATTGTGAGGTGAGCTCTGCAGTCAGTTTGGTTAACATCCATCATCTCGGGCAGACACAAAAAAGGAAAGAGTTTGCTTTGTGGTGAGCGCTCTTGGAATTCCCGCGCCCAACAGCCGAGAGCACACCTCACCGCAGTGCTCACCAGAGGCCGTGCTGTGCGCTGCACCCCTGCTGCGCCCTTCTCACTTGGCACTCGCGCTCTCTGATCCCCCCACCCCTGCCTGTGGGGACCACAGATCTGCTCTTTCTCTATGAACCTAGGTTGTTTTTTTTTAAGGTTCCACATACAAGGAAGATCAGACAGCGTTTGTCTTTCTCTTATTTTACTGAGCACAATGCCCTCAAGGTCCATCCATGTCATCACAAATGGCAGGATTTCTTTGTGTTTATGGCTGAATAATATTCCACGGATGGATGGAGATACACACACACCCACACACCCCACCACTTCTTTATCCACTCATCCATCAGTGGACCTGGGGCTGCTCCCACGTCTTGGCGATTGTCAACGCTGCTGCAGTGAATACAGGGGTGCCTATGTCCTTTTGAGTTGTTTTTGTCTTCTCCAGATGATCCCCAAAAGTGGGACTGCTGGATCACGTGGTAGGTGAATTTTCTGAGGAGCTGCCATGGGGCTTTCCGCAGGGGCTGTGCCAATTTACAGCCCCACCAGCAGGTGCAAGGACCCTCTTTCTCTGTTCCCCAGCTTCCGTCATCCTTGCGGTGACAGCCATTCTGACAGGTGTGAGGGCATCTCAGCGGGGTTTTGACTTGCACCTCCCTAATGATTAGTGACATTGAGCACTCGTGTGCCTACTGGCCCTCTGTATATTTTCCATGCAAATGTATCGGTTCAGGTCCTTCGCCCATGTTTAATTGGATAATGATAATGACTTTTGCTATTGGGTTGTATGAGTTCCGTACACATTTTGGGTATTAGCCCCTTGTCAGATACATGGCTGGCAAATACGTTCCGGTTCGCGGGCGCTCTGCACTTCGCTGATGGTTTCTGTGGCTGTGCACAGACTTTCGGCTTGACAGAGGCCCATATATTTGTTTTTTGATTTAGTTGCTTGTGCTTTAGGTGTCTGATCCAAAAGGTCATTGCCAAGACCCAGGTCAAGGAACCCTTTTTCTGGGCTTTCTTTTTTTTTTTTTTAGGAGTTTCATGATTTTGGGTCTTACATTTAAGTCTTTAGTCCATTTTGAGTTAATTTTTGTAGGCAGTATAAGATAGGGGTCTGGTTTCATTCTCTTACATGTACGTATCTAATTCTTCCAGCATTCTGTATTGGACAGGCTGTCTCTTCTCCATGGAGTATTCTTGGGTCGCTTATCAAGTACTAGTTAACTGTACATGCAAGGGTTTATTTGGGGGCTCTTGATTCTCTTGTTTCACTGGCCTATGTGTCTGGTTTTTATGCCATGTGGTTTTGATTACTATAGCTTTATAACATAGCCTGAAGTCAGAAGTGTGATTCTTGCTACTTTGATCTTCCTTCTGAAGACTGCTTTGGCTATTTGGGGTCTTCTGTGGTTCAATACAAACTTTAGGATTTTTTTCATGCTGGATAAAAATGCCATTGGAATGTTGTTAGGGATCTATAGGTAAATGTAAAATAATACTTCAGGTAAGTTCTTCTAATCTATGAACACAGATAACTGCTGATTTATTTGTCTTTGATTTCTTTCATGTTTCATGGTTTTCAATGTAGAGCTCTTCTACCTTCTCAGTTAAATTTATTCTTGTTTTTGATGCTGTTGTAAATGGGATCATTTATCCCTTTTTTGATAATTTGTTATTAGTGTACAGAAATGCTACTGACTTTTGCATGTTGATTTTATATCCTAAAAATTTAATGAATTGGTTGATTGTATCTAACAGGCTTTTGGTGGAGTCTTTTGGGGTTTTTTAAATAGAAAATCATGTCACCTGCAATACAAACAATTTTACTTCTTTCCAATTCTGATTTATTTTATTTACATGAATATTTCTTTAGTAGCCTAATTGTTCTGGGTGGAACTCCAGCACCAGTTCACACGGGGGTGGTGAGAGCGGCTGTGCGTGATGTTGGCTGTGGCCTCGTCACAGGTGGCCTTTGTCGTGTTGCGGTAAGTTCCTCCTGTAACTCATTTGTTCTGAGTTCTTACCATGAATGATTGTTGAATTTCTGCAACTATGGAGATGGTCCCATGACTTTATCCTCCATCTTGTTAATATGATGTATCAGACTGGATGATCTGCATATACTGAATCACCCTTAGGTCATGGGGATAGCCCCACTGGATCATGGGGAATCATCCTTTTAAATGCGGCTGACTCCGGTTTGCTAATATGTCTTTGGACATTTTGCATCTGTATTCACCAAGAATATTGGCCTGCACTTTCCATATGGTGCCTTTTCTGGCTTTGCTAGCAGGGTGATGTCAGTCTTGTAAAATGAATTTGAGAGTGTTTCCTCCTCTTTCAGTTTGTGAAAGATTTTGAGAAGGATTGATGTTAATTCTTCTTTAAATGTTTGGTGAAATTCATCAGTGAAGCCATCTGCTATCTGGTCCTGGGCTTTTCTTCTTTGGGAGAATTTTGATTACTGATTCACATTATAAAATGATTTGGGTATTTTTTTTTCCTGTAGTCTAGACGTTTTGTATAAAACGAGAATGCTCTCTCCCATGAAGTATTCATCCATAGAACTATTTTGGGCCTGGTGCATATTTGGGGGAATGAGAGTAGCGTTTTGATTTAAATTAATTTCATAGTTTTTAATCTAGCTGAGTCTTCTGGTTCTTTGTGACTTAAACATGGATATTCATAGTGTCCATTCCAACCAGTTTTTCATAACTGATGAGCTGGTTCAGAGCAGTGGCTCTCAGAGCGCCCCCTGCAGGCCCAAACAGCTGCGACATCACCTGGGAGCATCCTAGAAAAGCACGTTCTTGGGTCTGACCCCGGATCTGCTGAATCAGAAACTTTGAGAATAGGGCCAACACCTGTGCTGCAGTAAACCCTCCCAGTGGTTCCGATGTGCACTGGAGGTGAGAACCGCAAGTCTGCAGGGTCCTCCCACGTCCAGAGTTCTGACAACTTTGGACCCTTTCACACTGGCATATTCACTGTTTTCCGCTTCGGTCTTAATCACTTCAGGTGGTGTTCTTCCTGATTGGAAAATTGTTAGTTTTCTTTTTAATAAATGCATTTGAAGCTGAGAAGGTTCCTCTTAAGTTTCCCTTCAGTCACTTCCCACCAATTTCGGTACCTGGTGCCTTGCTTTTCATCAGTTCTAAGTGTTTTGTGGGTTATACTGCCTGCATTTAATCTTTGACTGTTTATTAAAAACCCAGATGTGTGGGGTTTTGGCAATCTCATTCTTGACTTCTACTTTTATTATGTTGTGGCAAGTGAATTTGATCTGAGATGGGGTTTTTTTTTTGAGATTTGTTGAGTTTTCTTTTTGGCAACATCCATGGCAAGTATTTGATGTGTGTGAAGAGACTATGTACTCGTATATTCTGTGCTGATGTATAGGAACTCATAGGTATGAATGCTAACTACTCATACCATTCAATTCCTCTTTTTCTCCCTGTACTTTTGCCCACTTGAACTGTAAATTTCAAGGAAAGAAGTCTACTTAAGTCTCTGACTATGATTATAAATATAACAATTTGTTTTAAAGTTGTGAATATACCAATTGATGGCATCGTGTGGTAAGAGGAACATTTCAGCAAAATATTGTCTCTGTTTAGAAATCAAAATGAAGTATTTGCTGCTGTCAGATTTTAACACTCTTATAAAAATGAGTCTAGTATCTTTTAAGCTTGTGTTTTATATGTAACTCTCTTTTTAAAAATACCAATTAATAGTGTCTGAGTCAAACCCATTCATATTCATTGGGATTATAGATATGCTTGCCCTCATTTCTACCTATTTTGTGTTTTTTATTTTTTAAATTTTCCCCCTTTCCTGCCTTTTGTTGAAATAATTACATCTTCTTTATTCCATATTTTTCTTCTATAGGTTTAAAAACAATATTTTTAGTCCTTATATTCTTTTTTTTAAAAATTTTTAAAGATTTATTTTCAGAGGGGAAGGGAAGGAGAGAGGGAGAGAAATGTCAATGTATGGTTGCCTCTCGTGTTCCCAGTTCTGGGAACTGGCCTGCAGCCCAGGCATGTGCCCTGCCTGGGAATTGAACCTCGATCTTTTGGTTCACAGGCCTACGCTCAATCCACTGAGCTATACCAGCCAGGGCTAGTCCTTATATGCTTGCTAACCTTAAATTTTCCACAGAGCAGCATATTTTTACTTATAAGATCTAAAGTCAACCTATGTGTTCTTTTCTTTCTGAATAAATCAGAAACTTAACACGTTTTCAGAGGTCATATTTATTTAGAGTTAGCTTCGTGTCCTTTTTCACAGTTAACTCCTGCTGGGCTTGTTCATCTTCTGGGAGCACGTGGCCCAGGTGAGACTTCGGTGGGGCGGGGTCCATGCACTTGCTGCACCCGAGTCTGAGATGCTCTCTGCCATCACATGGGACACGCTCATCGGGAGGTGATGCCTTTGGGCTGAGAGGGCTTTCCTCTCAGCACTTTGCAGGTATTATTTTCTTAAATCAGTGCTGCGACTCTGACGTAATTGCAGATGCTCAGTATGTGTGCTAGTGTTCAGTTTTTCATCGGTGTCTGCTCGTGACGGTGCCGTGGATGATGGGAGAACCCGCCGCGTCAGTGACATGGTCTGCGTGGACCGTGTGCAGACAGGGTTCTGCTTACTGCCATGGTTTCCTGCTGCCTGATTTTAGTTGTGACTCTTTTTCAGAGTAAGTATCTTCTTAAATTTACTTCTTCATAATATAGACCCCAACAAGAAATGTGGCTTGGGAGGAGAAATTTGTTATTTGAACCCAGCTTCCAGCTGATTCTAGGACTCAGCTCACTGGGCTGTTCAGGGTGGCCAAGCTCTCAGACGTCATGGACAGGACAGTGTCCCCAGGAAGGCATTCCTAAGGGACAGCCTGCTGATGCCATGCCCACACGCTAACCTAGGGGCTCAGGACCCCAAGTCTTTAGGCCTCCTCCAGCCGCAGTCAGAAAGCAGAGGGACCCGCCGGGCTGAGTCTCGGGCTGGAGAGAGGCAGGTGCTGCCCTAGACCTGTGATGTGGCAGGGTCGTCCTCCCCCAAGTGCGCACTAGGTGTGAGCGTGATCTGTTGTTGCCAGTTGTATCTGTTATTTCTATCCAATTTTTTTAACTGAAATGCCCCTGAATACAATTTACTGTATTAGAAGATTTCATCATGTGAGAAGTAATTCATAAGATACTTACATACCTGGTATGTAAGACACTAGATTATGGTATCTTTGTGAGTCAGAGTGATTCCCATGTGTGGGGAGAGGTGATGTAGGCTTTAAACGAGGTGGGCTTCATGGTCACTGGGAAGGCCAACCATTTCATCTCAGACCACATCTTATGTCTCATTCATTAGGAATCAGGCTGTAAGAAGACGTCCATAGCCAAAGGAAACGCATTCTTAAACGCAGCTTTGTACTGGTTCTGTGACCACCTGTGGGCCCCTGGCACCTCGCTCAAACCCCAGATAGCTCTGAAGCAGTCAGCACAGGTCCCACGGCAGGGCCTGCGGGACAGGGTCCAGCCGCCCTCCACTCAGAAGGATGCCTTCATGTGGTTTTTCACGGGAGAAGAACCCAGGCCCACACAGGTCAAATTCACGACTTCGACGCGCTGAGCTGAACAGCATTGTCAGAGGCATCGAGTGTGAGGCAAGCAGGCCAGTGAAATCAGTGGTCTTCAAAGTGGAAGGAGGAGGAGCATGTGCATCCGGGTATTAGAAGAGGAGACGACGCCAGAGTTCAGACAGCCTACATCTGACAATCTGTTAAAAAACAACTTGCCCGTTTCCATAAAGTAAATAAACTTGTGAAGTGGCAAGCTGCTTAGGGAATGCCCTGTTCCTAAATGTTTAATGGGAATAATTCTGAACCATTGTTACAGCTGGCAGTGTAGACTCCTTTCTTCCCCACAAACAGTGGTGTTTGCCAAACACTCGGGGACGGTGCGGAGGCAAGGGAGGCCGCCACAGGCCAGACTGGCGCGCCAGGCCCAACACAGGCAGCGCCTGCTTCCGCCTCACCACTCGGACAAGGGTGCGAGCAGAAGCGTGCAGTGTGCAAATAGCTGTACACTCTCCTCCCGGGAATCACCTGTGGGAAACTGGGGACGTACACTCATGTCCTTGCATCCTCTCTGATGGACTTAGCTGGGAGTGTGGCTCATCTTCCTCCTTGAATGGACAACTTGGTCTAGGGAGTGTAGGCAGTTCTGTAATGTGTAAGACCTTATAATTCTTGAGTTGGAGGAACATCTTGACAGCCCACTCAATGGCTGTTCTTGAAAGAACAAGCAAGGATTCACTGGAGCCCAGGGTCAGGGAGGAAGATTCTAGCCCTGGCTGACCTGCCCATGGGCCCTGGGCCTCCCCTCTTGCTAGTTCTCAACCAACCAACCAGCCCTCGGATGGGGTCCAGCTGCCTAAAGGGACCCGTCTGTGTGGAGTACGGTGAGGCGTTTGTTCACGAGGCACAGGTCCCTAACTGAATAACTGGTGCTGTGTTCTGTGTTATAAGACATGATGGTTTAATTAGTTGTTTAAACAAGTGGCAAGAAACTGTACTTACCCAACGGGCTTTTCCCCTTGCTCAGTTTCTGAATCCTGTTCATTTCATTCTGGCATGGGAGACCTAAAAAATAATTTATGAAAGTCACTTTCCAGATGGTGCAGGATATAATCTCCAATGATTGGCTTGAAATGTAGACAACGACACACCTGGGAGTGGAATTGCTCCATATGCTGTTGCTAATTAAAAAAACAAAACTTAAACCATGAGGTACTTAAAATACTATTCAGGGGCTACTTGAGCTGTACAGGGGTTTTTCTTCCCACCACCGACTCCTGCAAATACCAGTTGTCTGGCAGGAGATTTGCTAACAGACTTTACATGAGGAAGTACATGTGTAGCTAAGATTTTCATGGGCTGAAGACCAAAGCTTATGAGTGGGTGTGTGTTCTGAATCCGCAGAGCAGACCAGCTAACCAGGGGGAAGGTGACAGGCGATCAGTGCTGGGCCTTGCTGGAGGAGGAGAGGCGTGGAGCTCGTGGCTTTACTGCCTGGGGAGGTAAGACGCAGGCCTCACAGGACAGTCACGAAGCTACACAGGCCACCTAGAGAGGCGGTGAGTGTGACTGCCAGCTCCAGCCCATCTCCGAGCCCTTGGTCATGAAATGCATGCTGCTGTGAAGGATTCAGAGCAGAGATGCATGGCTGAGCGTGTCCTCTCTTTTACCTTCCAAGAGAACTTCCACTCCACACAGAAAGAAGGGTGACCTCACAAGTTCCCCCGACTCACCCCTGCAGAGCCTATGGCTCTGGGAGGCCCTGCTCTTTGGCTCCGAGCCCTCCAGGCAGGGACACAGGTGTGGTGAGTGTCCAGGTGCTTAGGCCGCCTATGTACCTGTAGGCAGGGGGCGGCAGGATGTGCTGGAGCACCTATTCCAGCCTGCTGGTAGTGCCCGAGGGCTTCCCAAGCCACCTGGCCTTGCTGCTGTGGCCTGAGTGAAACCTGCTGGGGAACGCATTTTGTTTCCTGCTGGGTTTGAGATACCAGTTGAAATCAACAAAGAAAAGGGAAAACAAATTCCATCGGTGGTGATTAAAATTAGTATTTACTATGAGAAACAGTGAAAATTTATTGAATTCTCAGAATGTACCAGACGCTGTTCTAGAACTTTACACCTTAATTAATCTTTACAATAACCATATGAGGTGGATACAAATACCATCCCTATTTTGTGAATGGAAATGCTCAAATTTGCAACTGCAGGAATACAGAGAAGCTGCAGGCATTTCAAAGGCTGGTCCTGAAGACAAGGAAGATCACAGTCATTCCCAGAAACACGGTCTCGGAGAGTTTTCTATGACATAAGTTTCCATTGTAAAGATGCGCCCTCAAACTTAAATCTCTACTTACCGAAAGACAAGGAGACACACAGCGGACTGAGGCCCGTGGATCATCGCTGCAGGAAATGCAGAGACAAACAACACAGAGCTCCAGACGAGCGATTATAACAGGAAAGGTCTGCTGCTAAGCAGGCGAAAATAGCTCCTGGAGGTTTCTCTGACAAGTCAAGGGTTCTACTGAAGAAGGGACTGAGTTTTAGGAACAGATACAAAAGGTAAAAATGTCAGAAATGAAGCCTAGGTCGGGAGCTCCAAAACTGAGGGGAAGCTCTTGAGAACAGATTGATCACGTGGAACAAAGAAGTTTTAATTCTAGAACTGAACATCTGAGGAAAAGTGAGATAGCCTGAGAAAAGCTAAGATGTGTCTTAGGAAATCTGTGCCCTTAAAAGGTAAAGAACCCTTTCGGCTTCCGGGCAAAATGGTTCTATCACCAACAGAAGGGAAAGCAATTAGTGTGGTTCATGCAACTCCATAGTTACACCCAGTGCTAGGAGAAGAAGGTTTGAAAAATCTGTCAAGAAAAGAAATTCACTTCAGGAAGTTTGTACTTAGCATCTTTGTTTTTGTATGAAGAAAAATATTTTCACATATTCAGGGACTAATTCAAAGAATAGATTCCCCATGAAAATTTGTGGGGAAAAAGTCTGAAACTCAAATTTAGTGATAAAACTAAAGAGAATAACAGCAAAACCAGTCAACAAATAATCCTACCCCCTGAAAAGTGCTAACAATTGTCTTGGGCCAAACAGGCCCTCAGTATCTTAATAGAAGAATTATCTATAAATTAGCTATAATGAAAATACCAGCTATGAACACCTAAGGTCTACAGCCAAGAAAATACTCTGGAAAAAAATTTGGCCTCAAGTATATACTTTAATAAACAGAAAATAATAAAATATAGAAGTTTAATGAAAATCCCAGAACTGGTTCTGGGTCAGGGATAGAGGCAGTGGGAACCTAACAAAAAATAAACTTACTTAAGAAAACTGGAGAACACCCACGGATCTCCTGGAGGCCGTGGCCTGCCCCAGGCCCAGGCAGCTTCCTCCGGTGGCTACCGGCAGGGACGTGCCCAGCCTGCTCCCGCGAGGCCAGGTGGCCCTCGCTCTTCTCGTGTCACTCAGGCTGAGCCTGAACCTGGCTAAAGGCACATGAGTTTTAGGAACTCAAGCCCAAATCTGTCATGAAGCTCAATGTGGAGCCACTACAAGCTTTCTACTGAAGTAAAAAACATGGCTGTTACTTAACATCGGTGTGAAGGAACTAGCAGATGTGAGTAGAAAAGGGAAAGAAATGAGGTACAGAAACTGTAGAGGAAGACAGTAAACCGTCACCGCTCTCACAGGGTGTGACTACACAGCTGAAAAACCCAAGGAAACCCACCAGAATAACCACACATGCAAAATGAGAATTCAGTAAGGTAGCTGAGAACAAAACGAATATAGAAACAAAGAGCCACCAGTGATCAGATATAATGGAAAATGACTGATTTCGGTTGTAGGGGCAGCAACAGTAAACACGAGAGGAAGTGCCGTGCTGGTGAGAACTTGGAGTCCGCTGGTTAACAGGTCCTGTTCTAGAAGAAAATGGCTCACTATTCCACAGCTATCACTTCTCTCTGGATTAAATGTTTGCCTGCTTCTTAAAAAGGAACAGTCAGAATTTTTTAATGGAATAAACTGATTCTGAAGCTAAAAAGCTATCAATATAAGAATATCCAGGAAAACTCTGAGGAAAGATTGAAGGCAGGGAAGGTTGACCCCACTTGATAGTAAAGTGGACTGTAAACAGCTGCGATTTAAATGATTCAGAACTGATTTATGAATAGACAGCTCAGTAACAAGACGAGTACCCAGGAACAGACAGAGAGTTTTATGTACACTAGAGGAAGCATTGCACATCGGAGGCAGAAAGACAGGTCAGCCAACAACTGTCGGGAAAGCAACTGGCCAGCTGCCTGGGGAGGGTGGGGGTGGAGCAGGGGCTGTGGCCCCACTGGACTGCACATGTAACATACCCCAATTCGAGCAAATGTTGGAAGCCTAACCTAACCCTAACCTAACCTAACCCTAACCTAACACACACCAGAAAAATCGAGAGTGGTACAAGGTTTCAATAAATGCTCAAAAAAGAACCCCAAAAAGTGGTGAAGAAAACTGCTTTATTATCTTAAAGTGGGAAATACTTTTCTAAGCTTAATAACATAAGCTTTATGGATTCTAAGAGGCCATAAAGTAAAAGATGGAGACATCTATCTAAAAATTTCTCCCTAGCAAAAATGCAGCCAAAGTGGAGGGGAAAAAATGGCAATACATGTGACTAGAATAGTCTTAATAATCTTAGAGAAAATTCCTATTAAAAACAATGAAAAAACCCACAAGAACTTAACAGAAAAAATGATGAATGTCTCTAACAAACAAAGATGTTTAACCCAAGTTGTAATAAGAGAACTGAAACAAAGTCTAGAAGGAAATACAATTTCTTGTCCCCCAGTTTGAAAATGACCACAGACTTTAGCAAGGCCATGGGAAAATAGGTATTCTTGTGTACTTTTCAGGGGAGTAAAAACCATCAGAACGTCAACTGGAAACATTGCTCACACTTAAAATGCACGTGCCTTCTTGACCACTCACTCTGCTTTCAGGAACGCCCCTTACAATCCTCTGACGTGCACCTGCACGCTCGCTGAGGGTCCTTCGGGGCGCCTACCTGCGCTTTCTGCCGGGCGGGCGTGTGCCGTCTGGGCATGCGCACACGCACCCTCGGTGTAAACACTGTGGTATTAGCACCCAACTTCCTTTCTGGGGCGGCTCCGACCGCCATGCTGACCTGACCTGGGCTGCACCAGGTTTTTGGGGGGCTGCAGGCCACCACACGTGGGCACACTCCCCGGGAAGCTGAGACAGAACCAAAGCCAGGCCCTGAGACCCCACAGGGAGCCGCAGAGCCCCGGCTGGATCCCCGCGAGGCCGCGTGAGGGCCGGTGCCCCGCTGCAGTGTGTTCCAGCGGGCCCCTCAGATCCTGCCTTCTTTCTGTGTTCCGTTCACTGGAGTATCCTCATGTAAGACACTGTGCAAACCCTTTCTTGAAGGGGAGTATGGAGGACCCACGTGGCAGTGGGGGTTACGTGGGGAAGGTTTCTCGACCTGTTCGTGGATGAAAATGCTGAGGTGCGACACAGTCAAGAGAGCTTCCCAAAGAAGATGGAGATAACGGACTCCCTGGTCATGCCCTTGGGTCTCCCAAAACACCGTGTTAAGAACAGAATGAAAATAAGAGAGAAGAGCCTTTGGGCTCGCCAGGAAACAGACGGAGCCTTCCGACCTCTGCCTGCCTCCCCCGCGGGGGTCCGGCAGCACGGCTGCCCCGGGCGGCCCCTCCGCCCCCCTCACCTGCAGGCTTCTGGAAGCAGTAGCACCACTCGTTGTTGGAGAGCTTGCCGTCCTTGAAGGAGTCGCAGGAGTTGAAGAGGGGCTTGATGCAGGGCTCGTACTTATCCAGGTAGATGGCATTGATCTCCGAGTGGTCCAGCAGGAGGTCGTAGTTCATGTCCAACTTGTTGAACATCCAGCCCAGGGAGTCCTTGCAGATGGGCAGGATGCTGGTGTCAAACCCTGCCGAGGGAAAGGCTCGGGTCAGCTGCTGCCACACCCGCCTGGCCGTCCCTGCCCCATCCTTCCTGGGGGGTTCACCCTCAGCGGCCCTGCACTAAATGTGTTGGGGGGTGGATTTAAATGAAACAATTTAAAATGCACAAAAACAGAAGTCAGCATTTAAGGAAATATGTTTGAGGGGAATAAATCCCCAATGCTAATTTATCTGTAATGTACTGTATTTTGCTGTGTGTAATGTGTACTATTTTTGCCCAAATTTTTGAGGGAAAAATAAGGATGTGCATTATACATGGGTAGCACTAATTCCATATCTATAACACTGTTTTTAATTCTTTTATTTATGCTTATGTGTGAAAAGTATAACTCTAGAAAGCAGTAATGATATCCATATGCAAAATAATACTCTAGACTATAATAGGTTTTGTTTATAAATATAAATAATAAAAAATTGAGTTAAAAATATAAAATGAAAGGTTTTTTCCTGAAAGTTTGGGCCAAAAAAATGGGTGTGCATTATACACGGGAGCACATTACACGTGGCAAAACACGTAAGTATGGGTTTTCACGTACTCGACTTGCTTAAACAGGGTCTGTGTGAAGAGGACCAGAGGGTAATCCTGCAAACTGTGCTTTCATAGTTAGGAAAAAATATGATGTGAAAAACGAAAACAAAGCAACTTGCAAAACAATGGCAGTCAGACGCAGCTGTGGCACCGTCCGGAAGCCTGGCTTGCACCCGAAGCGTGGCGGACCCGTGGCCCGGACACTGATGGGGGTGCGCCTGCACCCCGTGAGGGGCCTCTTTTGTGCTGTCCCCTCAGGAGCTATGGGATACAGAATCCAAACGGATTCACACAATATTCCTTTCTCATTTCCTGGGAGGGAGCAGGGTTAGTTTTCTTAAAGAGCTTCTGAATGGTGCCACAGTTTAAACTTATTTTTCCCTCGGAAATCATGATACTCAGAACCCTGCATCTGCTGAAGCCAGAGCTCAGAGGAGGCCGGCCCCAAACCAGAACTCGGCTCCAGCCCACAGTCAAGTTATTCCACAAGCCAGACTTCTGGGACTGGTTTTACTTCCAGAAAAGTGAGGATAAAGGTTCACTTTTGTCTTACTTAAGACACTGTCCTCAGCACTCTGTACTTAACTGTCTCACGGAACCCTTGGGCCAGTCCTGTGAAATGCTGCTATACCCTCCCCACTTCACCCTGGGTTTGAAGGTGTCTTGCTCAAGGTCCTACAACTGTTGAGCTGGGATTCAAACCCAGGTGGCCAGCGCCACCTCGAGTCTATAGTCTGAATCCCACCTCTCCCAGGGCTGCCTCTGCCTCACAGGACGTTTGACCCTCCTGTCCCCAGGACGTCTGGTTGGTTAGGATGCCCTGTTTGGGGATGGGTGGCCATACAGGGTCCTGATGGTGTCGCTCCCCTACCTGCATCTCCAGGAACCCCTGCTCAGTCCGTGGGAAATAAGACAGAGCGAAGTACTGCCCCTTTCTAAAGCACTGTTTTTACCAAGGGGTCTTCGCTAGGCAGTAAGGCAGGTGCAGCACCGCCCTCTCCGAGCTCTCGTAGGACTCCACGCTCCCTCCTCTCAGACTCCTTGTGGGTCAAGCCCCGGCAGGCATGCAGTCAACGCTCCATAAAGTATTTGTCCAGAGAAGTTTTCTAGCTACTGCAAAGTTGACCCTTTAACACATAAATATCTTTCCATGTTTAAATTCATTCCTTTTGGTGTCTCAGAACTCACCTTGGAACATCCTTTTTACAGAAAGGGGGACCCTGGAAAGGACTGAGTCCAGTCCCGTCCAGTCTCAGTCCTGTCCGGAGTCCCCCTGGATGTAGGACGTGACTGAGTCCCCTGTGGGACGATGGAATCTCCCCAGGGGCCTTGGAGTGAAGGAGGCAATTTACTCAGACCTGAAGCGGCTCCCACTTCCACACAGAATATCCTGTTCATTGATTTCAGAAGCTGGCACCATTCCCACACGGGACAGAAGAGTGACCGCCAAAAATGTGCCACGCTGACTGGGCAGTAGGCTAAAGGTTAAGACCACTTCCTATCTACTTGGAAGTTGTAGACAAGATGCTCCTGCACCTGATATCTGGGGGTGGCGGGGGACAGAGCAGCCCTTCTAATGGGCCCCGCGCACGCGGGACGTCCGAGGTCCCGTGTCTCTCCTTCAGAGCCTCCCGGACTGACAGCAGCATCTCTGCCCGCTCTGGCCTCCGGGCCTCATTCCTTATGTTCCCTTCACAACAATGGCTTCGGGACATGAAACCAAAAGCCTCGTTGGGGACTCAGCTTGTGTCTACACAAGGGCAGGTCATTCCTGGCCCCCCCATCTGCATGTGGACTCTCCAGGGACTGGAAAAGATTGTCCGCAGAGCCCAGGGCCCAGCTGCTCCTGGAGGAGCCCAGGGGAGGGTTTCTCTAGACCACCCTTGACTGAATGGTCCACAGGCTCCCAGGGAAGGCCCAGCAGGGGTGAAAAGAAGGCACCTGACTCCCCGTCCCCACAGACACAACCACGCTTCAGACACTTAGATTCCAGGAAGCAAACGTTCTCTCTCCCTTAAGGGAGAAGATCCAAACTAGGGAAAGAATTGTCCCCTATGTTCCCTCCTAGCACCGAGGCTCCGCACAGCAGAGTAACCAAAAGTTCAGGGAATCATTCATATTCTGGCTGGAGACTGGATGCTGGTCAGACTTGGGATCCCAAGCCTTACAGAACTCCGTGAACTTGAGTAACTGTGTTGCTGGCTCACGCGTTCTAGGCAGACCGGCCTCAGTGGGGAGGAGCCCACCAGCCGTCAAGCACGAGGCTGGGGACCTGTTCTGAGGGCTCTCTCCGGTCCTCGAAGAGGCCCGTATGGCCACTGCCGAGTCAGTGCTGGGGTGGGGGCCCTGCCTGGGGGTGTCCGTGGAAGATGAGATGTGGCCTGACAGATGTTCAGAAAGAGTATCAAAAGATGTTTGTACGATGCTGTTTAAAGTAGCTGAACATCAAGAACAACTTCAGGGATCCAAAAACAAAAGTCTACTTATATCATTTACATCACACCCATAACCCAGGGTTCTGTGCAGCTATTACAAAGCAAGACACTACTTTTTGGCATGGAATGATAGCCACGGTATGTTGCAAAATGATACAAAGGAGGTCAGAAAAGTCTGCAAAGTGTGATACACACACTTTTTTTTCTGTGTGATGAGGAAAAAGAAGTATGTATCACAACATGCTCAACAGGTGTTAAAATGGTGGGTTTAGAGCCCTGGCCAGGTAGTTCAGTTGGGTACAGTGCTGTCCTGATAGGCCAAGGCTGTGGGTTCGATCCCCAGTCAGGACATGTGAAGGATCAGCTGGTGTGCGGAGCAACAAGCCAATGTCGCTGTCTCCACCTCCCTCCCTCTCTCTAAAGTCCATAAAAAATTTTTTTAATGGTGGGCTTAGTTTTTGGACATTTTTAATGTATATGTTATTTCCCAAAATGCCTCTACTAGACATATGTTAATTTTATAAAAACAGAATTGACCCTTGAGCACTGAGAGGTAGGGACACTGACCACCCACACCCTGGAAAATCCGAATAGGACCTCAGTCGGCCCTTGGCACGTGCAGACTCCCAGCTCGGACCCAAAACGCGTGTGAGTGCATGGTTATGTCCTCTCGATTCTAAGGCATCTCCCCTCCTCTATATTTTATCATTTCTGAAATCTGAAAGTAAAATACTGTTATTAGTGGGTGTATTCAATGCAGGGTCTCCCTGCTCACCCCAAGTGCTAGTGCTCACTCAACAGTGTTTGATGCCCGAGGAACCTGGCATTTAAAGTGAAACATTAGCAAGAACATGACGGCCTTACTGCCTTGGGCCACGTCGGGGCTGGTGGGCTTGACGACCCTGTTGGCATCCTCATGGAGGGCTCCGAACCAGTCTTTCAGCCGGGAGGCGAGGTTCCTCAGCTCCTTGTCTGTGCAGGCTGCGGAAAAGCAGAGGGAGGTGCAGTGAGCCTGGGCTCTCTCCTCTCGTTCACTCTGTGCCCTCACGGGGGGGTGCCATCCACAAAGCCTTGCCCAAACACACCTCCCTCTCCAGTCACAGTGTAACTCCTCGCCCCCACTCTGATACCCCTCCCCCAAAGGTGTGGGACAGAGAGCCTTGACTCCCGGGGCAGGCCGCATTGTTCGGGACTGAACTTGGGCTGCCTCTGAGCTGGCAGAGCGAGCTACCTTGGGCTCACCGTTGTGACCCAGCCTCAAAGGCCCTCTCAGAGGCAGGCCTGCTGCCCACCCGACAGAGCCTGCTCTTGCAGTTTGCCAGAGAAGATTACTTTGTCCACTAGATTCATAACGAGACATTAACACTCAGGAACAATTAATGCTTTTAGGGAGAGTCTGCCGAGGACACCAGAAGGTCCCAGGAATAGCAGACTCTCAATTTTGCTTTAGCCCAAGGTTTGAGCTTGTGGATGTGGGTTATTTTGTTAGCCTTTCCACAGATGGACTTCACTTTCCCCTAGAGACACACGGAGCCTTCCCCATGGGAATGCTTTCTGTTTGCAGCCTGCCGGTGACTATCCGGCTCATGTTTTAGGTAGGACAGAGTGACCAGGACCAAGGAACACTCCTGAGAAAAAGAAAGTCTGGATGGGTGGATGGGTTGGAGGGGTCAGGCTGTCTGAAGGGCTCATGGAGCACTGAGACAGGACTCGAGGGAAGAAGTGCAGAGGGGTGGCCGTGGAGCAGAGGAGGGGCTGACGTTCCCTAGCTCCCCGATTTTGCCCTAATTCTAGGTGCTGAGAATCTTGACAGAGGGCCCAGGCAGTGAGCTGCTACTGAGACACAGAAAAACCAGCAATGGATTTAGTGACCTTTAGCACCTGGGACAGAAATTAGAGACCTGCAAGGCGGAAATCCCAGTGAGTAAGGAGGGGCAGAGAAGGCAACACTGCAGCTGTGGTGCAGCCAAGCAGAAACAATGATATGGCACAGAACCCAGTTCTGAGCATCTCCTGGTGCTGCCAGCACAGGATGCAGGTGAGAGCCAGAGTCTCCCAGTGCGGAGAGACCCCGGCCAATGCCCTGGGCCCTGAGTGACCAGGGAGCTGACGGGCAGCCAAGCTCCAGGCCAGCCTCCAGGGAGCACTGGCTCTTGCTGACTTGAAGTGTTGGCCCCTATTTGCGTCTGAAAGGGCAGGATGATTCCTCTCCAGAACAAAACAACATCATCCAGATCTTCTCATACTGACACTCTGGCACCTCTCCTGCCCTCCACTCAAGGGCAGGTGAGCAGACCCAGGCTGCAGCCGCAAGCTCAGCCCCCCGCCCCCAGACCTGCTGCCTTCCTCCCGCCAGGACCCAGACCCGAACGCCACAGAGCACCAGTGATGGGGCGGTGCTGCTGAGCCCGGAGCTGTTGGAGGCCTCGCTTTCAGCAGCCAGAGCAGGACTTCCCACAGCCCGGGCCAGGAAACTGTGCCGGGAGCCGACCTGCCAGGCAGCACCGTGTGTAACAGCTCTGGGCCCACGCTGCCTGGCAGGAAGTCCGCTTCGCCACGGACAGGCTTGGTGACTCAAACCAGTGACTGAACTGCTCAGTGACTCAGTTCCCTCATCTGTAAACTCAGGACATCATCACGTGACATGAATTAAACAAGGTATGCAAATCACTGAGCAGCACACATGGCATGTAGTGCTGACACTCAGCAGGTGACAGCTGTGGTTTTCACTGATGTTACTAGTGTTGCTCTTGATTTTGATCATTCCCAGGGGAACGCCCATGCACACCGAGGCATTCAGAACAGCAGTAGGACAAAGGTAGTGGAACGAAGCGGGCTCTGGCCACCTAGGGCCCAGGTGGAGACGGATGCGTGTGCTGGCCGGCACAGTCGCCACTCGCCACATGCAGCTGTGTGCGTTTTATGTATATTTAAATCAATTACGATAAAACCTAAAATCCAGTTCCGCTCTTGCACCCACCACACTCCCAGAGCCCCACAGCCATGCACACGTCATGGGGACCCCGTGTGGCCAGTGCAGGTGACACTGCCCTGGGCAGCACTGGACGGAGTGAGCTCCACTCCATCCCTTCAGTCTGTGCAGGTGGGCTGGGCAGCCCTGAGCCCGCTCCAGCCAGGAGCCGGAACTTCACGCTCGGCCGTGCACACAAGTAGGAGGAAAGGATTTTTTTCTGACATCATGACTCACAGCTTTGCCCGGGGGCCTGGCCTTGGGTGCGGGCTGACCCTGTAACAAGCTCGTTCGCCCCAAGGCACAACCTCTGGGGCAGACAGCGCCCACTTTCCTGCCTTTTCATTTGCTACCTGGAACCAAACAGGAGAGGATGTGCCCCCTTGAGGGCCTGTTGATGCGGTCTGTTGTTCAGAGGGGATGGGATTCGAACCCTATGGCCAGTCTCACGTTTGAAAATGTAAAATTCATAGCACTAGCTTCTCCTCAAGTGCAATGCACACCAAATGTTCTACATGTTCTCTACGCCGAGAAAACTGCCAAGGCGACGTGCCAAGGAAATGCATCCCCTTGTGGCCCTATAGGGTACATCAGTCAGTCACGCTGAACTGACGCCGGGCAGGCGTGTGGGTGGTCAGAGTGTTCAGGAGACCGCGGGTCCCCGGGCTGCCCGGAGTGCACTCCCGGGCCCTGCAACCCTGAGCCTGTGCTTCGGGTGGAAGCACACGCAGGATGCCGTGGCCCGGGTGGAGAGAGGCCTCAAAGCCAGGATGGAGATGAGCGCACTGCATTTCAGGGCCCTCTTCCCTCACAGTGTCCTCGACCGAATGGTCCCTGGGAGGAGAAGGCCAGGCGTGGTCTTCCCGGAGCCAGACACGTTGCAGATAAGAAAACGAGGATGACAGCCCGCCGAGAGCGGTTTGTTCACTCGAGGGGTTGCAGCCACGGCGCAGTGGGAGGAAACGCCTGCCTTCCAGAGTGCCCGCCACGGCCCCCAGGACGGGCACGGACCGAGGGTGGGTTCTTTCGGAAAGGGGGCTCACAGGGTGCAGCCCACACACTCGGTTCCTTCCTGGGGAGAAGTAATTTTGTGGGGAGAAAACCATAAAACCACGTCCGCCTGCCACGCTCGCTCTCTGCCCCGAGGTGGCCATCCCTGCGATTTCTAGAGAGGTGTGTGAGGGCCTGGCCTCTCCTCCTGCCCTGACCCTGGCCTGGTCTCACTCGCTCTCCTCTGCCCAGTCATCTCTGCCCAGCGCCCTGTTCCTCAGGGTCTCAGCCCACCTTCTATGAGTCACTCCCCATCTTTCCCACATGGCCTCAGGCTGCTCCACGTGGCCGCTGGGGTGTGGGCCGCATCTCCAAGACCCACTGACCTCCGACCTCAGCTCCTTCCAGCCGTCAGGGCGTGGCCCTCGGAGCCGACACCTGGGGACCACCCGGATTCCTACGAACCCTGCTTCCTGCTGTCTCCACGGACAGTCCCTCTCCCCACCACCCTGTCCCACCAACTCCACGGTCTCCGGTCTGTCCTTGGTCCCCACGTTCCCTTCCCTGTCCAGCAGCCAAAGCAACCTGAAACGGGCACCTGGTCATGTCGCTCCCCCACGGGGCTGCTCCCGAGGCTCCCAGCCACTCTGCAGACACATCCAAATTCCGAGGTCCGACCACAGGGCCCAACTGAGGCGGCCCTGCCACCTCTGGCCTCTGCTCTCTGTCCCTCCCAAACTCTGTTGCCCTGGAGCTCACCTCTGTCTTCTTAATGCCACTTTCTTTGTCAGACCCCTGCTTTAAAGCTCCGCCCTCTTCAAGGGCTTCCCCAGCCCCCACCTCGGGGAGCTTTCCTTTGCAGAGGCTTCGGGTTCTGGCTCCTAGGATGGCGTGAGCCCCCCTCCCCCAGTGACCCACCACTGGCCCCCGCGTGTCTCCCGCCCAGGTCTCCCAACAGAAGGTGCACCCCACTCTGACCCGCCCCCGGGACCCGGCCTCTAATGGGCTTAGTTGGTTCCCAGTGTGAAGAATGCTCTGGACGCTACTTAGCACAATAACCGTCTTGTTACTGTCTGTAAACTCCCACTTGGCCACCTGCAGAATGTCGCTGCATCCTAGTAAAGCGCAGACCACTCTTAGGGGCTGGCCGGACTTGCCTGCGCCTGCCCGCACCGGCTTTCGGCACTCGCCATCGGGACGGGTAGGGAGTAGTTGTTTGAAACACACGCATTTAAAGAGAACACACTGCTCCCAAACTCCCCAAGTCCCACAGTGATTGGGCAGCAGAGACGGGTCTGGCCTGGGCTGTCATGTCGCTGGGCTGGCCCTGGTGGCTGGAATGTCCTCCTGCATAGGCTGGGCAGGGAGACATTCCCGGAAGACATTATGGGAGCCAGAGGCAGTTAATAGAGCAGGTGGGTTTTCTGAGCTGGAGAAAATGAAAACCTCAGGCCCTCACACGTGCAGGGGAGTTCTGTCCTCCAGGAGAGGACAGGTGGGCAGGCAGCAAGTCGGGCTCTTGCTCTCACTGGTGCGGCCCTTCCTCTAGCTCCCAGAGCACGGGTCACGGGGCAGCCACAGGGACGTCCTTAGGGAACGGTGGGGTCTATGGCCCGAGACTACAGAACGAGCAAAAGCAGCTCCCTCCCCAGGACAGCAGAGTGCAGGCGGGGGAGGGCGGGGCAATGCGGGGCTCTCCCAGCAGACACTTCCTTCCAGGAAATGGGAGCAGGCACAAAGAGCAGGTGTAATAAGGCGCATGCGGGTGGCGCTGGGGAAGGTGTATAAATAGCCCTGGGAAGAAAATACGACTGATTTTTCTACCTCGGACCCCCCTGCCCCACCCCACCTCCAAGGTTTGGAGCTGAAAGGGGCATTAAGTTGGACTGGACCTTAGTGCCCAGAGCAGTCACAGCCCGGGGGACACACTGAGTGACCCAGCTAGTGGGAGGAAGGACGAACTGCTGCTGAAGCCACAGGGCAGGAAAGCTGTTGCAGGGCCAGGCGGCCGGGCTGAGGG